AATCATTTACTCTTATTATTTATCATTAATGGTGGGCTTTCAATGTCTGTAGATTGTTTGCCAGTTTCCTTTTTTACAATTTTCCAAACAGTTTTTACTTTATTTTCAGACTCTACTATCAATTTATTGTAATGCATGCGTTTAGCTTCTTTAATGGATTGAGATAAAATTTTGCAATATTTTCTATAGTGTTGCTTCAATAGTGGGTTATTACTGGACCTGCTACTTAGGTAAAGAGCTCACATTTGCATGATGTTTTGATTCCTTTAGTTAACCATACATTGGTTTCAGACAATTTTTTCTCTGTTTTAGTAGGAAAACTTTTTTCAAATATGCTTAAAAAGATGTTTAGAAAAGAATTGAACTTCGAGTCCATATCACCACCACTGAGTAATAATTCCCAGAAAAACTATGGTCTAATGACACCATTTCTGTATGTGATTAATGCCATGTTTCCAAGTTGCCAAAGGTGTTAGCGGTAAAGCCACATTTTAATGGGCTCATCAGTATTCTGACTTTTATAGAAAATACCACCAGATATTCTTTCGATTCAGTTTGCCAAGCTTTAGGGATTTCAATGACAGTGCAGAAGATAGGGCTACCAGTTGTCTTTGTGTCAGTTATGAAATTATGTATTTGGTAGATATTTGAAATGCTTATTACTTTTAATAGGGCGATTTTGAACACACAGGAATTGAAATTCAAGTTTGCTACAGACAGCAATGAAATTATATTCATTATTGACATGTATATCAATGCATCAAGTGTTTTATATATGAAGAGTGAAAGTACTGTGCATGAAAATTATATACCTGTGAAGTGTGATTTGAGAAGTGAAGCTCTATTATTAGCAGATCAACAAATGTGTATTCTAGTTTGATGTAAACTTTAAGAATAATACTTCATATCACTAGCACTAGTATAAAAGTATAGTAGTAACAAACCATATTAATCAGTAGTGATAATAAAAACAGTGCAGTGGTGAAAAGCAGCTAACGTTCTAGAAATATTTTTGTGCTAAACACCAATGTTATCTAGTCAGGAATAGGGGACACCTCACTTGCCTAGGAGGCTGCCTTTGTCACAGGTATTTAATTGACCCCCACATACAGTACATTTATGATCTAGACCAGTGGTATTCAACCTTCTTTGTTCGCATGCCCCCAGATATAATTTCTCTTCAACTAATTCAAGTTATACATAGTATATAATTACATCCAAAATAAATTAAATAAATTACATCCAAAATAATGCTGATGATGCAGTGCAGTATAATTTCATTTTGTGTGATGTATTGATTGTTATTCCTTTTACTACATTGTGCTGCTGAGGACATGGGTTTTAATAGGCCATCAGACCCTGTGTGTGCAGCATGTATTAGATGAATCAAGGACCATGCCCCAAAGGGTATTGCTTTGATTTACTGTACCTGATGCTAAAACATCTAGCTTGAGAAATATTAAGCTTCTTTCTAAAATTAGTTTATCTTTTCCCAACAGTTTTGTGACTCATTGTATTGGGCAATAATTGAAGCATGATGGTATACACGTACAAGAAATTAAACTAGCGTATGTTGTACACCTGTCATACAAATATAAAGGGGAAATAAACATAAGAGGTAGAATACTGAGGGCTATATCTCTGTACATTTTTAATTTTTTCTTATCTCTGTGGAATTTGTGTATGAAAATTCTTAATGTATTAATGCACATATAAAATGTATTTTGTGTTGTGCAAGTTTAGCTATTTAAAAATATGAATTACAGTTGCTGTGAATTAATCATAGTGTAATCATACATAGGGCAGTCAAAAAGTTCCCGGAATTCCCCTGTTTGAGAAAAGTATGCAAGACCCGATTTTTCTCACAAAGAGTGTCACTGGTGATGAGTCATGGGTGTTCGCCTACGACCCGGAGACGAAGATGCAGTCATCCAAGTGGCACACAGCGTCGTCTTCCTGACCAAAGAAATCACGCCTTGTCTGATCCAAGCAAAAAGTGATGCTCATGGCATTCTTTGACATTGACGGTGTGGTGCACCGTGAGTTCGTACCGCCTGGACAGACTGTTATGGGTCATTTCTACGTGCAAGTGTTGCAGAGGTTGCGCGAAGCAGTTCGGAGGAATTGGTGCAACAAGTGGCAGGGTGAGTGGTTTCTGCATCACGATAATGCACCGAGCCACACATTGCTGGTTGTGCAGCAATTCCTCGCCGAGAAAAGCATTTCCGTCATCACTCAATTACCATACTCTCCGGATCTCGCTCCGACTGACTTCTGGCTGTTCCCTACTCTGAAAATGGGCCTCAAAGGGACGCGTTTCACTACCATGGAGGACATCAAATCGAATGTGACGGCCGAACTCCGGAAGATTCCAAACGAAGCCTTCCGCCGGTGCTTCCAACAATGGCAGGATCGATGGAGCAAGTGTGTGTGTGCGCAAGGGTCCTACTTTGAAGGTGATTAGGTAAGCATTGCCATATGTCCTGCCATTAGAGTGCTATACCACAATTCCAGGAACCTTTTGACTGCCCCTCATATTTGTGAGTACAACTATCTTGACTCATTCCACATTCTGCTTTCTAACATCGATGAAATCAGTCAGTCTGTCCTATGTTAGCTACCTCTTCATCCTTTACAGGTCATAAAGCCATCCATCATATGTGCTGTGCCATTAGTTTTACCAAATTTAACATCAGCCAAGTCTGGAATGTAACAAAAATGGTCACATTTGGTAAATTGTAATTTTGTATGACACATTGCTCTCTTAATATTTTAACCCTGAAGTGGTTGTCAGTGTTATGTATTTTGAATCAGAATTAAATTTTATAAATTAAACTTGAGAATGGTGAAATACATTCATTTGATACATCTGAAACGTACTGAGCCTTTATAGTTCCAAAATTTATAGTTTCCTTTTTGATACAAGTTTGTCTATAAATATGAAATTCCAAAATAAAAAAAGTGTTTATGTGACAGTTGCATTTCTTTTGCAAAAGACTTTGGGACTATACAATTTGTAATTTCTTTGTTGCTGTCACATGAAAGTGGACATGACTGTCATGTTATTGAATTAAGTGTGCCATTACATTTGCAACACATTTTGTAAAATGGTCACAAGATCTCAGATGTCAAGTCAGTTGGAGAGAGAGGCATGCACATACAAACTCAACCTACCCTTTGCTTTTGATTTTCAGGAAGTAGTTTATTTGCATGTATTTAAGTCAGTATTACAATGATTTACAGGATCTGCAACAATGCTCACCTAGATGCAGTATTCAAGAGGCAGTTGGAGGTAGTTCTTGAGTTCTATGAACTCTTTTTAGGACAACTACATTTAAGGATGTCCTTGGAAATCAGAAATCTACCACCTATGCCAGCTAACTACAGATTCAGGTCAAGGTAAAATATTCATGTTGGCTGAAAAGTCTTACCAAATTAATTCGAGTTTACATTTTAGTGAAATATAAACATTTTGTCATGGATTAAGGCTAGGGTTGTGGTCATATTATTGATTAAAAGTGGTGGAAAATTCAAGGGTAATTTGATTTATACAAATGCCGTATACAGTGAAACCTCTATCCATCGTTCCCCGAACTATCGTTTTCCCGGATGCATCGTCCGTTTTGTTCGGTGCCGGATACATCCCATATAAAATAATGTTACATTTTCCCGCTTCTATCGATCCTCGAACTATCGTTTTATCGCATCGATCGTTCAAAAATCTTAGTCCCGGCCCACAATTTTCCCGCAATGATCGTTTCTGAGAAATTGTAACGAAATTTACGCGATGTTTTTAGAATTTAAAATGCTGGGTTTTGAGATAAATTAATACCGAAAGACGCATAATGTTAATGTAATAGTATTTCCATTCTTCCTGTTATTGATTGCGAAGGGGGTTGGAGTGGGGATGAAGAGGAAGTCGACGAATGCGAGCCCGAAGCTGTGCCGAGTTTTGCCGAAGTATTGGTAAAAGTGAAGTCGTTCTTTTACGCCCATAATATTAGTGAACGTGACAAGGAAAACATTTTGAAAGTGGAAAGGGCTCTGTTTGGCCTAAAACGTGAAGTTTCGACAAACCAGTTGTCCATTAAAGACTTTTTTTGGTAAAAAGAAGTAACTTTGAAAGAGAAACATTCAGTTTTTTAAAATTTTTAATGCTTTCCTGCAACTATCGTATTCCCGTATTCATCGCCAAAAACGATGCATCGAGGTTTCACTGTATATCTTAAATTTCTTGAGATCGGAAGGTAACATTTTATAAATATGACTTATCAGGGAAAAGAATTTATTTAATTTAAAATAACAGGTGATCATGTGTACTTTCATTTGTTTGTATTTTGAAGTCAGTTCCTTCAGCAGCTTAAGTAATTTCTAGGCTCTTCAAAGCATTTATATTTTTATATAACAAATCAGCATGCACAAATTGCTGATGTAGGCTGTTCAATTCTAACCTTTTGTGATCTTCCTCTAGGCTTATTCTGGAGGAGAATTTAAAGGCAGTAGATACAAATAGTCTCCTTGTTTTAGATATATTCTATTTCCTCAGACATACACCTGTTTTTGATAAGCACATCAACTGTGCTAAAAATGTACGTGTATTTGTTGCTTGTTATTGCAGTTTGCCATCATTGACGGGCACCAAAAGTGTGTAGTTAAGTTTTCCATAAAAAAAACATTTTCCAGATGATTTGTTTAGTAGAAGCTCCATTAGTGGTACTCCATACTGTTCAATTTAGAGCACTTGCGAATGTTTTATTGACAGTTTCCATATGTCATTTTACCTTTTTTGTATTTTCTTAGCAAGTGTGAAGCTAACATGCCAAACTGCCATATCCAGTTACTTAGTCATTAACTAACTAACTCACTCACTGAAATGGTCTGCAGTTTGTTACATGAAATTTAATGTTTATATTGCAGTGACATTTTATTGCATATTAAAAGTTAAGGTGCCTAGAGCTACCACATTTCAGTGTGTTAAATGTGACATCTGTTTTGTTTTTTCAAAAAATATCCCATTTTCCGGTCTGTGGTAATTTGTATGAAGTTATCAGAAAATTTTTTTGTATATAAATGGATGGAGACAGTTTTTCACATTCAAACTTTCACTGAAAGTATAATCATGGGAAAGTTCTTGGTGTGTGAGACCATTATGGGCAACCCTCAGTGACCATAATAGAAGTCTTGGGCCACACCTTGCTGGAAACATCTTTCTCAGTTTCAGTTCAGGATAGTCATTTATCATGCAGTTAGGCCCATAGTCAGATGCTTATTCAAAGTTGTTTGCCAGTTACAGTACAATAGTCCTTGTAAGATCGGTCTGGAGTAACACACTTCTTCCCAAAATGTTTATACTTTCTGTGGTTCATGTGAGTGGCATTGTTAAAGTCAATAGATTGGGTAATATTGTTTAGCTTGTGGTAAGGTAGAACTGTGATACTGTTAAACACACTAAAATAACACATATGAAATAGCAGGTATGCATCATTTTGAAATGACTCAAAAATGCGAACGTAAGAAATTTCAGTAC